TTGGTTTCAAGAAACCATGTTCCTCAAATATGAGAGATGGGGATGGAAAGGAGACGAGAAGGAAGAAAGTCGGGAGGCAAAAGGGAGAGAAGGAGTGAGGGAGAGAGAGAGAGTCCATGGGAAAGGCAGCGTAATCTTTTGAAAGTTGTTTGAAATATAACAGCTTCATGCTCACTAAGAAATGAATGGCAAAGAAAGTTTGGGCCTAATCTCTGATCATTGTGGATGAAAGCTGGATGAAATGGTTTCAAGGACGGTGTTTTTGACTTCACTGCACTATCCAGAATCTCTTCACAGGACCAGCGAAGGCTCCACGTGGTCTGACCCCTGACAACCTCTGGGGCTTCATTCCCTCCTATGCTTCTCCTCCTCACTTTGGTCTTCTCCATCCCTCTCTGGAAATTCTCTTCCTTCACTTCATTACTCAAATGTCACATTATCAGAAAGACCTTTCTAGGTCACCTCATATAAAAATACCTGTTTCTCCCCACCAGCCTTTATCCCCTTCATAATGAATTATTTTTCCTCCTAGAAACATCTTATTAATATCTAATTGTCTGTTGTCCATCTCTGCTTCGTAAAAGAGCTTTATAAGGACCTAAATTCTAGCTGTGCTGTTTTCCATTATATTTCTGGTAACCAAAACAATACACAGCTTGTAGTAGACTCCCAGTAAACATTTGTTAAATGGCATTCTGTTGGGGCCTCTCTTTCCTCTTTCTTTTTTTTTTTTTATGTCCACTACCTCTTTGATGTGAACAGTGAGCCTCAGAACCAGTTTCTGTGATAAAAAGAACTCCCTGACATTGAAATTCATTGTGCAGTGATTTGTAATCTTCTGTGGTCTTGGTCTTCAGTATTTCATATTTTTTGTTTGCTTTTTGTTTTGGGTCTAAGGAATGAGGGTGAGGAAAAGACACTGGGAACTTGGTGGACGGAAGTGGACACTGGAGTAGGGTGCAGTGAGGGATTGTGTTATCTATAAAAGCCTATTTTTACAGTATTGTAAACTATGGTGCCTAAAATAAAATTAAATAAAAATAAAAAAATAATTTTACTCACAGGTAATTTCTAAACTTTGTCAGAGTCACTAATATTAGACAGAAATAATCTTTTTTTATGGACTGAGAGTCAAGAGACTTGAATTCTAATCTTGACTGTAGTCTAAGAATATGTGTTCCCTTGAAATGATCTTAATGTTCAAATTTTAGCTGTATGACCTTGGGAAAATAATAGTCTGGCTGTATATCTCAATTACCTATCAGTGATGTGAGAATAATAATTTCATCCACTCAGTGCTATTATAAGGACTGATGAAATAATTTGTGCTATGCCTGAAACACAATTATCACCATAATCATTATCTTCTTCCTCATTGTCACCATTTCCCTGTGATTCCTTGATATAATTTTTGTTGTTACTGAGTATTCTAGACACTTATATAGATATTTTGTCAAACTTCTTTATTGGCAACAAAAGAGCAAAACATGTTTTAATGTCTCAAAAAATTGACATATACTACCACATTCACACACAAAGAAAGAACAAAATTGTCATTGGAATTAGCAAGCATTGTTTTTGTGAAGTTCTTTTTACCTGGCTTTTTTCCCCTAAAACTTTCCCAGAAATTAAATATTATTTTTAAAAAGAATTAATGACACTTGCCAATTTCACACCTCCAAGTGGCAAAATAAAATCATTTCACTTAATTAATGAGCAGCAGGGTGGAAAAAACGCTTCTTTGTTAACTCTACAAGTACACTAAATTTCACAGCAGAATTAAAAACAAATGTTCTATCTTGGCATATAGCAAATTATTGCACAACATGTTATGAAATTTAAATTGCAACTGCTTCTGGGATTTTCATTTTAAATCATTTTATAGCTGATATTTGTATTATTTTTGTATGTTTGGGCTCTATTATTGTCTATTATTAATCAACCACTTCAGAGTGATGTTTTTCTTATACAGTTGATACAAGAATGTATATCTAAATGGATAAATAAAACAAAAAACTATAAATTGCCAGAATGGAATGTTCAGAAAATGCTTCCAAATTGGAGTTGTTTGCTTTGTGTATTACTGCCCACTTCCTTAACCATAATAGAATTCCACATACTTGTAAGTAAAAAAAATACATGTGCTGAAAGCTTTAAGATATTTGGCAATTTAAACATGAAGTAGAAGCCTGAATCATAAAGAGATCTGAAAATAAACATTATCTTTTTATTTAGAATAAAAGTATAAATTAAAGATATTTTATAGTTATGTGAGGTATAATTTCACGATGTCATTTACATAAGTATATAATACATACACACTAAGAATTCTAAAAACCTGAAGCACAAAAAGAAATCATATTTATGTGTACAAGGGGCTGGAGCCATAGCACAGTGGTAGGGCGTTTGCCTTTCGCGCAGCCGGCCCGGCCCAGCCGGGTTCGATTCCTCCTCCCCTCTCAGAGAACCCAGCAAGCTACCAGAGTATCTCGCCGGCATATATTCAATATGCCAAACACAGTAGCAACAAGTCTCAAAATGGAGACGTTACAGGGCCCACTCGAGCAAATCAATGAACAACGGGAGGACAGTGTTTGTTTTGTTTTGTTTGTGTACACACCTACACCTGAGTATAGGGAAGAAGACCCCAATAAAGGCAACACATCTCACCTGAGTGGTGCTGGCGGAGGTCTTCTCCACATAAATAATAACTTTGGAAAGAACTTAGAAATGTTATATACAAGCAGTGGATTGCAAGCTGCTATTCTCTCTTTCACTCTGCGCTCGATTTCTGCCGGATGGTATTCTTTGCATCTCTCAGTGGAAGTTCAGGGTAAATGTTTTAGTACCCAGTACTCTTTTCAGGTACCTTCCAGTTTTTCAAACTCTATTTATTTCAAATGTCAGGCACGTCAAAAAAAAAAACATTCTGTTTTCCATTATCTGGATTTAGCATTTCAACATTTGTATAATAATTATACTAAACAGTGCATAAACAAGATTATAAAATTATTTGTAATAGTTATAAATGAGCACAATCAATTAAGTGGCAGTTCTGGTTTTGCTACTGAGGAGGACTTGCTCTGATTACTTGTTCTTGTAGGAAGGAGGTGAATTTTTATGTGACGTTAGAACCCTAACTTTTAGTTTCATATTCTGTTTTATCTAATTTGCTTACAAATTGGTGGGCTAAGGTCGTAGGTTTCGGCTACCTCCCAAGAGGCTTGAGAGTGGGGACACTGAGATTTCTCCTCTTTCACTTTCATCTTGCTGCTGCTACAACCTGGGAATTCAGTTCTACCCTGGCGTCTTCATTGTCAGTTCCTTACTATTGATAAGTGCTCGATGGCAGTGTTCTAGAAGCCATCACAGAAGCAGAAGCATAAAGCATGTTGCCTGCTCAGAAGGAATTATTTAAGCATGTGTGGCATCTTCTTTAATAAGAAAATGAGGTAGATAATTATGCACAAAATGGGTAATAAATACCAGGCATATAAATTATTAATCTTTAATGAAAGAGTGATAACCATATACGTCAAATTTTTTCAACAAGATATAAAAAATAACCTGCCATAAGAATTATACATATAAGGGCTTGAGCAATAATACAGTGGGTAGGACATTTGACTTGTCTGCACACAGCTGACCCAGGTCCGATCCCTGGCATCCCATATGGTCTCCTGAGCAGTGCCAGGAGTGATTCCTGAGTGCAGGGGTTACTCCTGAGTAACCCCTGAGCATGATCCAAAAAGCAAAAGAAAGAAAGAAAGAAAGAAAGAAAGAAAGAAAGAAAGAAAGAAAGAAAGAAAGAAAGAAAGAAAGAAAGACGAAAAGGAAGGAAGGAAGGAAGGAAGGAAGGAAGGAAGGAAGGAAGGAAGGAAGGAAGAAGAAAAGGAAGGAAGGAAGGAAGGAAGGAAGGAAGGAAGGAAGGAAGGAAGGGAGGGAGGGAGGGAGGGAGGGAGGAAGGAAGGAAGGAAGAAGGAAGAAAGAAAGAAAGAAAGAAAGAAAGAAAGAAAGAAAGAAAGAAAGAAAGAAAGAAAAGAAATTATACATATAAAATATCAGAAAGAACTTAAGGACTCTCAATACTCATTTCAAATTGCATGTGATCCAAGATTAGATACTTTTGTTTTCCAGTTGCTTTCTCTGTGTGATATGGATAGTGCCCCTCTACAAAATCCCCAACATTCAGGCAAATATCTGAGAACTTGAGACAAAGAGGGGTTTTATACTAAATAACTCCAGCATAGACATCCCAGTGTTAACCAAGTTCACAGTGCCCAATGATGGAATGAGAGTCATTTGTGGCGTTTGTTGTGCAGTAAAATGGAGATTATCTTTATATGAAGCTAAACATCAGGATAAACTTGACTTTTTAAGAATTTTACAAATACCCAAAAGTGAGCATTTGATACGCCTCTTGTTTGGCACAACATAATGGAGAGTTGACTCCAGATGACATAGCAATCCAAGCTCGTGCTAGACATCCTATTCCCAATAAAGGCGCATCAAAATAAAACATCAGTTGGCTTATCAAAGGATCCTGCCTCTTCTCAAAGCCCATCTGCTCATCTGAGGGTCACAGGCTCTCAGCTCTGCATCATTATTTACTTTTAGCTCCTCACAGGCAAAACAGAAAAACATCCCAAACACCCCAAGAATAGGTGATGGGTTCACATTCATGGATCCACCCAAAGGCCTCTCTGGTTCTGGTGAGCTAACGCTAAGGAACCCAGTGACAGCTCCAGACAGGACCTTTTTTATTCAGTTTTTCAGAGTATCTTTATTCTCACCCTTAACCTCCACCCCAGCTCGATGCATTGATGACTTTTGTCACAGGCTCAAAATTTTTTTTATTGTTAATGTCAAAGTGGCTATTGTCTAGTATATAATTTCTTCAATTTGTTGGAGGAAATCATATTTCCCCTTATTTTTCATAGACCCTCCTCCTGCCATTACTTTTCAGTTGCTTTCCTCATCAATATGTGTCATAGATCATTAAAATTATATGTTCAGAGTTCATTTCTAGAGTTGGTTACTAGAGAAAATTCCCTGATCAGGTAGAGTATCCCAAACCCGAGGAGAGCTGGAGCAGCCGCTCCTGGGAGTCACCCCAGGTCTAGCTGTTGCTTTTGCCACAACCTTTTTATATTGATAATGGTTCTTCTCTTCCTTTGGAAGAGCGAGAGGGAAAGGATGCAGTCTGAGTGTTTTCTTGGGAAAAATTGCTTTATAGATCAGTCCACTGTCATATGCAACGTAGACTGAACTATTAAAGTAGCACTGTAGCACTGTCCTCCCATTGTTCATCAATTTGCTCAAGCAAGCACCAGTAACATCTCCATTGTGAGACTTGTTGTTACTGTTTTTGGCATATTGAATACGCCATGGGGAGCTTGCCAGGCTCTGCCGTGTGGGCAGGATACTCTCGGTAGCTTGCTGGGCTCTCCAAGAGGGACAGAGGAATCGAACCAGGGTTGGCCGTGTGCAAGGCAAACGCCCTACCTGCTGTGCTATCGATCCAGCCTTATGAAAGTAAAGAACTATATAAAACATACTTTACTATGAAAGTAAAGGACTATATATTTACTCTTCTATTTAATCTGAAATTCCTAATTAATATTTGCAGTCACATTGGCATCTGACTTAAGCACTGAATTTAAATTTTTATATACACAGTCTAATAAAAATTCCACAATAACTTTATGAGGCAAGTAACGCTTGGCTAGCTAGATAAGATTCAGCATCAGAGACTGAATCCTGGTGTTTTTTTCTGTCTCTAAAGCAGCCCCTTAGCTGCACTTGAGTAATAAGGATGTGAGATTCAAAGTGCTAAGTTAATACTGACTCCTGCTGTACGAGGTTTATCGGACAAAGGACAACAAAACATTCTAGAATTAGGTTAATTTTTCTGTATTGGTCATTATCAGAAACTAAGAGATCATCTATTTAGAATTCTGTATTTTCTTACATATTATTCATTTGTTCTGGCTATTTCACATAGAATTATCTTATCTGGAATACGTGTAGGAGACAAGTGGAATTTGCATGTTTCCCCTGGTTGGAAATCTTATCCCCATTTTTATTCTAGAGGATTGACTTCTGAACAAATAGAGAAGGTCTATAAAGTAAATATCCACCCACTTATGTTGGCTCTTATTTGGTATGTTAGAAGTATACTATCCAGTGCTTGCTTGACTATGAGATAGTTTATGTACAAGAAACCACAGCTGATAAAAAAGAAGACTTCATGCCAATAATAAAATTCCTTGCAGTTCAAGTAATGATGGGGCTTATGGTAGATACTAAGAATCACAGGAACAGATTCTAATTAGTCTTATTAGTCACGTTTGAGTCAAATGACCAACTATTCTGACTTTCATTTGTCCATTCTTCCTTATGATTAGCCAGAGGAATGGCAGAAATTGGTGGGTGGTTTGTCCACAGTCAACATCATGAACTTCACAGAAATTGCTTCCATTCACCAGGTCAAACAACTGAAAGCTCAGCTGGCTGGGGTGAGGCCCTGGACTTGTGTCATGCCATCTTCCTAAACATGGCCTTGCCCTGCCTATGACGGTGGTTGGCACCTCTTTGGTGGCTGGGCAGGTGAGTGGGATGAAATCCTTGACACTCAAGTCCAGAGCATCATGGTGTTTGCTCCCTGTGTTAGCAAAGTAAATTTTTTTAAAATTCCCCTCCCGTTGATCGTCGATTTGCTCGAGCGGGCCCAGTAACGTCTCCATTGGAGACTTTGTTGTTACTGTGTCTGGCATATCCAATACTCTCGGTAGCTTGCCGGGCTCTCCGAGAGGGGCGGAGGAATCGAACTCGGGTCGGCCATGTTGGCTGCGTGCAAGGCAAACGCCCTACCGCTGTGCTATCGCTCTAGGAGGGCCTTTTGAGGCTAGAGCGATAGCAAAGTAAAGCCCCATAATATTGGTTTCTAAATGTTTGCAGTTCCTGGTCTAGTGCTTTTGGTGTTACTCTCTGGAATAACCCTTTTATGACCTAAATTCACTTTCATAGTTTTTGTTTGCAGATAACGTGGATAAATTTTTATAAGAACTGATAATGTAGGTTTAGTTTGAGCTCTCAACCATTGCCTAAGATTGGAGTCTGTATAGGTATTCTGGCTGAGATGCCTCTTTCTGGTTCCCCACGCTGGCCAAGTGTTCTACTTCGAAAGCTAATCCATCACTTGTCATCAAGGCAGCACCTCTTGGTCTGCAAGTGCTCCCTCAGCTATAAAGACACAGAATGGAACCTTTCTAAAAGAGTAATGGCCATGTATAACAAGACCACAGCCAATATCCAGTTTCATTCCTTTTTTTCAAGGGGGCGGGGGGCATACTCAGCAGTTCTCACAGCTTGCACCTTACTCTGCACTCAGGGATCAGTCCTGACGGGGCCTAAGGGATCATATGTGATACCAGGGATTGAATCTGGGTCATCCGTGTACATGCAAAGGTACCATACCCCTGAACTATTGCCTAAGCCCTCACCAGTATCATTCTTAATGGTGAAAACCTGAAAACATACCCTCTGAGGTGATGTACAAGGCAAGCATGCCCACTGTGCCCACTTCTATTCAACATAATAATATAATCCTAGCTAGTAATCAGGCAAGAAAAATTTTTTTTTCTACAACCTTGGTAGTACTTACAATTGTGTGTAATGAAAATTGTGTTTTCATTACTAAGGCTATTTCTATTCTAGTTTACCAATGCTCAGCTCTCTGCAAAGACAGGAAATTTTAGGGTGTTTGAATTAAATCAGAATTATATCATTTTACAGTCAATGACTTCTACAGAATGTCTCCTTTCAAAGGCCACTTCACCCTGAGCACCACCAGGTTTAGCCTTGAAAGCCCTCGAGTAGCACACATGGCTAGTTCCATTAATGGAAGTACCTCTTCCTGTTGGCTGAGTTCTGCCAGAAGTGGGAAGCCTGGAAAGCCCCCATCTCTCCCCAAATAAGTAATTAAAAGGTCACTTCTTCAAAGGCACTCAGAAAAGGCTATTTCCTTAGCCTCCAACATGAGCACAGACCAAAATGAGGTACTTGGGACCAGGATGATACAATTGAATTTACAAAGCTTAAAAATTAGTGGCAGAATATATCTAAGTAAGTAAGCTTCATATTTGTAAGCGAAATAAGTACATAAATATCTACATTTTAAAGAATGATACCTGCCACAAAATAAGAGTTGGGTAATTAGAGGAGGAAGGAATTCACTTCTGAGAGGAACTCGAGAGTAACTTTTAGCAGACCCATGAAGTAAGACAAGATCTAGAAAAGCCAGATGAGATAAGCAACATATTTCAGACAAAAGAGGGATCTATATGAGCAGCTAAAGTCTGGGTTCCTTATTCTGTAGACTTGTAAACAAATTCAGAGGAATGACATAATTTCTACTGAAGAGATTTCTACCAAGATGGGTTCTTTCCTGTGAAAATCAGCTTTTACAAATTCTGACTCCCTAAGGACGCTAAACAGTTTTTTGGTTTCTGAATAACTAGCTTTAAAATCAATTGAAAATGTAGTGCATTATTATTAGTAATAGGAAAACATTAAGATGCCATGGACAATGTTTGCAATATTTTGTATTTTCTCAAAAAGGAACAGAGGAATTGGGTGTCTCTCTCAACTTTATTACTACTGAATGAGTTACTAACCAACAGTGATTGATCAGACTCTTCTGCCATGCCTGGATCCATATATCCAAGTGTTTGTAACCACACCATTTCAAGCTGGAATACCTGCAGATTGTCTGTTTCTCAGCTTCGAGCTAAGCAAAAAAGATCAAGTTTAGCAAATAAAAATTCAGGATAATCAGTTTGATTTGAATTTCCTTTAAACAACAAAGTTTTGGGCTGGAGCAATAGCACAGCAGGTAGGGCATTTGCTTTGCACGCAGCTGACCCAGGTTCGATTCCCGGCATCCCATATGGTTCCCCTGAGCACAGCCAGGAGTAATTCCTGAGTTCATGAGCCAGGAGTAACCCCTGTGCATCACCGGGTGTAATCCAAAAAGAAAAAAAAAAGTTAAACAACAAAGTTTTTTCCTTTAGGGGAGTGGAGGGGTCACACCCAGCAATGCTCAAGGGTTATTCCTGACTCTGCACTCAGAAATCACTCCTGGCAGTACTTGGGTGATCATATGGGATGCCAGGGACTGAACACAGGTTGGCCACATGCAATGCAAATTTCCTACCTGCTGTACTATCACTCTGGCTCCAAAGGGTTGCTTTTTTTCTCTCATTAGTTTTAGGGCCTCAAGCTCAGGGCTTATTGCTGGTTCTATGCTCAGGCCTGGAGCGATAGCACAGCGGTAGGGCGTTCGCCTTACAAGCGGCCAACATGGCCGACCCGAGTTCGATTCCTCCGCCCCTCTCGGAGAGCCCGGCAAGCTACCGAGAGTATTCGATATGCCAAACACAGTAACAACAAAGTCTCCAATGGAGACGTTACTGGGCCCGCTCGAGCAAATCGACAATCAACGGGAGGGCCTTTACCTTACCTTACCTTATGCTCAAGGATCAATCTTGGCAGTGCTCAGGAAACCACATGTGGTGACAGATTTCAACCAGGATTGGCTTTTTGCAAGCCAAGACCCTCACTCATCTCTTCAGTCCAACAAAGTTTTTTAGTGTGTCTTCTGAGTCAGTATTTGTGATCCTATTTCAGTTTTATTTTATATGATCTGAGTGTTTTATTTGTATTTGCATAATTTTGCTTTCATAATTATTTTGCTTCAAGAACAATGACGTGAAGGGTCAAGATGTGGCTCAGTGGTAGAGCACTTGTCTTACATTTGTCAGACCCTTACTTTGATCCCTGGCACCAACAGAAAAGAAAAAGAAAATTGGCACTTGTGATTTATGTACCCTTTATTTGAGTTTCCTTAAAACTACCTCCAAGATTTTTAAAGATTAAGATCCAGTGAAAACTAACATAAATACATTTAGATATGACTTACTCATCTTATTTACTAGGTTTATGCTGAGTAGATCTAATATTGAAGAATATGGCATTTTTAAATTTATATATTCCCATCTCCTTAGAAACTCCCTGTACGCAGTAATAAATTTAAGCCTTAAATGTAGTTCTTTTCTAAAATGTTTCAGAGGTAGAGAATTCAGAAACAGCTTGTACCATGACCAATATTTACCAAATGTTTAATTCACACCACCTGAAGAAGAAGTGGAT